CAACAGGCTGGCTGGATTCAGGAAGTACAAATCATGTGCAGACCAAATTGCAACGCTTCACATCATCATAAAACAAACTACCGAATGGTAGTCAACTCAACTGTACCTCACCTCAACTTCATCGACTTTGAGAAGGCCTTTGACAGCGTCGACCGAGAGGTAATTTGGAAACTGCTTCAATACTACGCAATACCGCAAACCCTTATCAGCCTCATTCAACAACTATATGAAGACGCCACATGCCAGCCAAGTAATTCACAATGGGAAACTCAGTGATACCTTTGAGTGGAAGTGAAGACAGGAGTGAAACAAGGTTGCCTACTATCACCCATGATCTTCCTGATTGTGGTCGAGTGGACTGGATCATGCAGCAGACAACAGTGGGGAGCGAGAAGAGGGGGATACGCTGGCTGGACTGTGGAAAAGAACCTAGAAGATCTGGATTTCGCCGATGACTTGTGCCTGATGTCACATTAACTTGAAGATCTACAGGCAAAAACTAACAAGTTGGCAGAAGAGGCAGCGAAGACGGGACTTCAGGTGAATATAGAGAAGACAGAAGTGATGAAGATACCGCACCACCACCATCAACAACAACAACAAACCCCAATCACCATGAACGGGAGAAACTTAAAGGAAGTAACCTCCTTCACTAATCTAGGCAGCACTGTTTCAACTACAGGAAGCACCGACGAACACGTCAAAGTCAGAATCGGAAAGCAAGACAGGCGTTCATTAGCCTGAAACCAGTGTGGAGATCTTCCCCACTGCACTCAGCATGTGGAACAACATCCGGATTTTCAACACCAACCCAGTCAAGTCAGTGCTTCTGTATGGTTCAGAGACTTGGCGCGTCACGAAAGGCATTTCCAATAAACTACAGACATTCATCAACAACTGCCCCCTACGCTGGCTCAATACTGAAGATCAGATGGCCAGAATAACAAGAATAAGCAACAAGGAGCTCTGGGAACGAACCAACCAAGAACCTATCACTCAACAAATATGCACTGGAAGGAAGTGGAGATGGATTGGGCATGCACTGAGAAAGCCGACTGGGGACATCACGCGTCAGGCCAGTCCCTTGAGTGGAACCCCCATGGGAAGCGACGAGTTGGGCGTCCGAGGGTGACATGGAGGAGATCGTGCGAGGAGGAAATGAGGGCTTGTGGGCTGTCGTGGAGCCAGGTTCAAAAGATCTCAGAGAACAGAGGTCACTGGAGACGTGCTGCTGAAGCCCTATGTTCCCCTAGGAACCCAAGGGACTAATAATAATATAATAATAATATACACACAAATACGAAACCAAGAAAGAACACAATAGCGTAGTTGGGTGGAATAGTATATTTGCGAGGTCACGCCAGGATACCGATGCCTTCCAACTAACTGGCTAGAGAGTCACTTACAAGCAGTTCGACGTGATATGACAGTGTGCCAAACGGCGTAGATACTTGACCGGGTGCCTTTAGCTTAGTGAGTCAGGTAAAACTATGAAGTTCAGCATCAATGTCGAACCTCTTCGAACTTTAAGCTGTTGGTTCTGGGGAAGTACGTGATGCCACAGCTTCAAGCTTTATTCTTCTTCTATCACGACCAGTAGTGTTGTAGAGTCACACACTTCTCCGGAATCAATAGACGAGATTCAGCATTGGTGGTGAACTTAAGTCTTCATCGGACTCACTAAGCTAAAGGCACCCGGTCAAGTATCTACGCCATTTGGCACACTGTCATATCACGTCGAACTGCTTGTAAGTGACTCTCTAGCCAGTTAGTTGGAAGGCATCGGTATCTTGGCGTGACCTCGCAAATATACTATTCCACCCAACTACGCTATTGTGTTCTTTCTTGGTTTCGTATTTGTGTGTATATACCAAGTACAAATAATTGGTGATTTGCACGTGCATCCGTCAAGTTCGCACCATCTGGATAATCCTAAATTGGTGGGCTGGACGTGATAACAGACTGGTGGGCTTGATGTGCTAATAAATCTTAACTTGGTGAGCCCGACCAAATACAATTCTTAATTTGATGAGTACGTTCCATTTTATATTTGTTCATCGTTTTCTTTTTGATAACTTTCATATTTCCATACACAACTGCTTTTCATGTCCTACCATACTCCGAAATTTATCCGTGATAAGCCGACGACGAACACTATCCAATTAGTGCATGCCGTTCAGAAGATGAGTAAACACGGTTCCTGTATGCTGAGGCGGATTTCCGAGAACAGAGAGTCACAGATCCACATCCTCGATATCTTGCTGTCACACGTTCACTACCGCGGGAATCAAACAAGCGTGTCACAGCACGAATGTTTATCACTGAAGCGATCCCTATGTACTTCTGAGGAAAAACTACCCTACAGATCGCCAGCGCTCGAACGAATTGCTTCGTAGCATGGAGCCAAGGGAATAATTCAGCCACTGATGGCCTCGCGTGCATGTGAGAAGTTATAGGCACACCAGCGTTCGATAATGGCCTTTTCCGGAAATTGTTTCTCTCGAAACTACCACAACCTGCGCAAACCGTGTTAGTGACACTTCAGTTGGTTCCACTAGATGATCTGGCAGTCTCGGCAGATAAAATACTGGAGATTTCCAGCAGACCCGCATCCAACGTATATCCGGTCTGCGAAAAACCCTAGAGCCAGGATTCAGAGGAAACCAGGCTGTGCAACTCTGTTGAACAACTGCTACGAACTTGAAGCCCTAGGTTGCGTAGCACGTCACAGAAACACTTCTCAGCCTATCGCAGCAACTCGTGTGGTTATCCAAAAGCTGAAGCCAACAGAGTGGAAAACGCTAAGTGGTGCTGGTTTCACAATACCTGTGGGGACGAAGTAAAAAATGCCGGAAGCCATGCAGTTTCAACATGGATCCAAACTCGGGAAACTGCCCCACCGTCACGCGTTCACGGCAGGCAGAAACAGCTGTTTGGTTTACGCCACCGATATAAAAACGAAAGTTCGCTATCTCATCGACACCGGCGCAGAAGTTAGCGTTTTTCCCACACCGATAATTAGCGTCATCATAACCCATCCTTCAATCTCCAAGCAGCTAACGTCATGGAGATCACAACATTTGTGAGATGATATGCCCACCTCAACTTAGGTCAACATAAGCCTGTTCACTGGATTTTCCTCCTAGCTGATGCTTTTATGCCCATCATTGGGATAGATTTGCCGAACAGTTACGATCTACTCACTCGCAGATGCTCGTCGACTATGGCTGTTAGATAACAACACAAAGTTTTCTGTTGGTAGAACCACCTACACAGGTCCAAGTTTAGCCATAGTTAGAACTAAAGACTCAATCGACGCGTCCTACTGGGCAATTCTAACGGAATATTCAGAGTTGCAATCAGCGACGCGTAATCTTCCATGCACAACCAGCAATATCATGCATCACGTCACAACCACAGATCCACCTACGTCGGTCCACATTGTCAGTGCTAGTTCTTAACAGTTACTTAAGGAAAATGGACGAGTTGAGAGCGCTTGTTTTGGTTATTTGGATACTTAACACTTTGGCTCACTCAGTTGTATACCTGGTCAAGCTGTGATGTAACATCAGTCGCCAAGATGTTACAGAATTAGGACGAAAAGATTTTGAAGGTAAATAATGCTCACAAAACTTACTGTTTAAGCTTTCAGTGTTATAGGTGTAAAACTTGGGCGCTGTGGTGAAATTCTATTCCATATTAGATTTGTTTGTTTGATTTATAATACAGTGGTCTAGTATCATTTACTTTATGACGTTTCAAGCATAAATTATTGCTCATAATCATATCAATGTAGTCACACTACTTTCGACATCCCATTTTTGTGGTTATGTCACCCCATGGGTTTTTACTTGTAGTAAAATTTCCTATACCTCTGGCATAGGTGTCGCGTCATTTCTGCTACACGTGTTGATTCGATAAACAAAGATTCATTAATCAGTTTCCCTCTCCGCCTAATTATATTGGACTTAAGTGGCCTTGTCCCACCCTATTGTGTGTTGACGCGTGCACTGGAATAGCCGTTTTTTTCCAGATTATTGATATTATTGGAGTTAGCCATTCTATATTCAACTATTCTAACTGACCCCGGTCAGCTGGTTTGATCTCTGTACTTGACCTCACACTTATTACATGGAATTCGGTAAATTACTTTGCTTAATTGGTTTTATCGGATCCTTAAGCCAGCCGACAAAGCTTATCTCTGAGTGAGTTTGTAGGTTTAAGTGCCACCCTAATACCAGCTTTGTTGAGAATCCTACGTAAAGTTTCCAATGTACCCTCCTTGTAGGGTAACACGATAGAGGCTGTGAACGTCCTACTTGTGTTGTCGTTATTATTCGTACTCATATTGCTGTTATTTTTTCGTTTCTTACGTGTTCGTTTGAAATTCTTAATAAAATGTGGAAGATAACATTAAGGTAATGTGTTGGTGTGTTTGCATTAATGAGATAAATCCCAAGGCACGATGGTTGCGTGGACCTCAACTAAGAAGCCTACTTTTCACTACATGAAACATCGTTCAGTTATCAGAATGAATCTAGGTATTAACATTCCTCTCTAACGGTTCAAGTTGTCAACATCTCACATGTGCACATTCGGATAGAATAGGAAATAGTGAGGGAAAATGTGGCGGAAAGCCTCAAGAAGTCATAAGACGAGAAGAAGAGAGGGTAATACAAGTGACGACACATGATGTGAAAATGAAGACAGTATGGGGATGCATGTGCGCCACTGTGATAAATTGTGCTATATCTCCTTAAGCTTCCAACCACTAAGTTCACTTTTCACATGGATTCCAACTTTGCAGTTAAAACTTCCTTACACGACTTAGACCAGCAAATGGATACTTCATAGACTGAGGCTATATTTTAGTCTTGCTGCCTTAAACCTTCTTCCAGCCTGAACCTAATTTACCTGATATCGCGCGAGGGGTGATTATGCATTTCTCAGATTTCTCAGTCGAGGAAGGTTTACAACCTCACCATTGAAGTAATGAAGTACGATTACTGATATTTTGTATGAAAAATTTTATGGGAAGTCCAGGAGAAAAATTAATTGAAATATTACACACAATTCATAAGTCATAATAGAAGAAATATTTACAAGCAATATGACTATACAGGTGTTGGAAATTATGCAGATAAACTACAAAGTTTTGCAGTAACTGAAGAACAAACAGCTACATTTTCAAAAGATATGACAGAACTTGATATTTGGTAACCAGACTACAAAAGTGAGAATATATATATATATATATATATATATATATATATATATATATATATATATATACGCCTAACTTGAAAAAACTACCGTCAAGAATTGAATGTAGTATCACTGTTGAGGTTAGGTGAATTATGACCAATCTGGGAAGAATTATTAAGTGGGACTAGGTTTGACGATGGAGAAACTATTTTCGTTATCGGTATCTACAGGTGAAGAAGAACTAGCATCCATATCTACATAAGTGTTCGCACATATTTCCATACATGGGATTCGAGATTGACAATCAGCCAACAAATTCACTTCCGTACAGCTTACTGAATCGTTTTGATTAACTGGATCGTGAGCAGTACTAATTGGCAATTTTTTATGTGTAATCAGGTGGGAATCCAAAAACAAACTATACTGTACACCGGTTGCTGGCACGATAGCTAAACAATCTCTTGTAGGGGGACTTTTAGTGCTATCTTCTGATGTTTCTATAATCCCCTTGTTTTGTACAACCATTCGATCATGTGAATTATTTAATGAATATGATGAACCACTAAGAGCAGTTTTTAAAACTGATGTTGAATTGTCCTTCAAAGCTTCTGGGACCTGTTCGCTCTTTGTAAGAACAGCGTTATTTGTTGTGAGATCATCAAGGTCAGGAGAATTAGAGCGAACAACGCTATCTGCGGCTTTCACGCTTGAAACACATTCAGTTATGAGTATCTCATCCCCAGAAGGTTTGCCAACGACGAGTGAGATATCTGCATGTGGAGAGATAAGATCTTCAGAAGTAGGAATCAAGACAGGGGATGATACTGGATCACAAAACATAACACCGGGAGTTTTACTATTCACCACTTCGGCTGACGAGTTTTGCTGCGGAATACTTGAGATAGTTGGTGCAGAAGCAACAGCTTCAACAGTGGGTTCAGAGTTGGATACGGCAGTATTACAGAGAGATAAGGTACATGAGTCTGTCGACATTGGTACATCTATAGGAACTGGAAAATATGAAGTGTCCACTGAGTTTGTGTTTTTATTTTTACTGGGTAGTTCTTCTACATCAAAAATAGGGGAAACATGTTCATTATGAGGTGGTGTTGAGCCACTGCATGAGATAACAGTATCATAATCGTTGAGCAGATCAATTAGACAGGGTTCAATGTTCTCTTCATTAATTTCATCAGATATTGGAGTAGGAGGGTCAATCTGAATAGAAAAATATCAAAATTTAATTGATGTCACAAAATGAACACATACACCTTACCGTTATATCCACAACATCAAGCCAACTCTGAATTACTTCAGGCTTACTGTTATCGGCTGTTGGCTTTGTGTTATTCGTACACTGAGGTTGAAGAGCATAGACTGCCTGAGAATGTAAACCATCTGTTGCTGCGTCTAAACGTTTGGTAACCCAACGACGAGCCCATCGACCAAGTGGTTGCACAAATTTAAGAAGAGAAATTGCATATTCAATTACACTTGGATCACCCCCATATACTTCACTAAGTTGTGCCAATTGTAGTGGTCTGCAACGAAAATAAACAGTTGCAGGAATGTCAAACATAATAAGTACTTCGAATTCCATAGCCATCTGCTAAGTTTGCACTAAACAGTTAAGTTTAGGTATGTTCAAATCACCGTTGCGACGGGAAGGAAACCACACTTCCCTTTTAAATCTGATATGATTGCTATGTAATCGAATGATTGTATACTATGATGGAGATATATTACTGAAAGGTACCGAGTGTTGAGAAGAAAAAACTCCATATTGTATTTTGACTCACAGTTAACTTCACAATAAAGACTAAACAACAAAGTGCATCAGTATTCATCTTGAAGTTTACTTAACAGTCAATTCTGCCAAAACTGTTTGGCAGAAAGATAAACAGAACAAAATAAAAACTTACACAGAAGTGCATCTCTGCACTGTTATAGGTTGTCATACTTCACAGAAACATACAAACAAGAAGGGAAGAGAAAAAGGATGATATTAATGCATAAAAAAGTGCTTGAGAGGAGAAGAATGGTTTTAGAGATAGCAAAGAGTTCATGTATCTGTGCAATGGAGATCTATTTTCATCTATAAGACTGGGAGTCCGTAACCACCAATCCCTACCGCCACAATGATCTCAGTCAGATCGCTTAAACTGACAATTAGAGACTTCATGGACTGTTTGCTACACTTTGACTTATTATCTAGCTATCTAAATTCAGTTAAGTCCTTAGTCGTAGTAAGAAAGAAAACAATTAACAGGGTAGGGGAAAAAAGTTAACAGTAATAATAACTAAAGATCATCAAAAGATGTTCCGGAATCAGAATAGTGAGTAAAATGTAGTTAGTCAGTAAAGTATGAGTGGATAGAATTAATACAGTTATCAGTATGCAATCATACTCAATAGACTCTTTTAGTGTACACGTAGATAACTAAGACAGAAGGAACCTCATGACTTAAGAAAGTGAAACAGGTCAAGCTTTGGACACATGCGAATTTCTAAAAGCTTGAAATACTCACGAACATTTCACCTTCAAAATGATTTTACAGGTAAATTGATGGCTTTAAAAAAAATTAGGATTAATGGCAACAAAACCAGTACATTAAGCTGATATGTTGGCAACAGTCCTCTTTAAAAACTATCACTTCAATTCTTTTACATAAATATGTCTATTTTTAGTTATAAGTGGCAACAAATGATTGGCAGAACAAAACTATCAGGAATCACAAATATTGCCAGTTTGTAAATATAACATTTCAGTTTTTTCTCCAGTGTACATTTATTCACCGATCACTTTCGTTACTGATGCATAGAAGTCACTAGCTACCATAGTTATATCCCAGTTTTCAGTCTTTGAGAACAAAATGACAGCTCCTGATACAACGTAATCTCTACATTATCTAAGATACAGTCAGTGAGTGAGTAGGTGAGAAATGCAAATAAATATATACGTTATGATCTCCCAAGGTTTTTCGAAAAGCTTTCTACCTAGCAGTATACACATCACTGTCAGATGTAATGCAGTAAAGAACATGGTTTTCTGCCTTGGAACTTGGAAGTATCTCTACTCTCTTAAATCCATGGAGATTATGTATCAAAATAATCTAACGATTAAGCGTGCAGATTCCAAACACCGGCCTATTGGAGCGACGGAACTGTCGTCTCGTATATGTGTCTCAGAGCCATAACATATATCTGTGACTCAAAATGTCAGAGTCCTAGCCTGTGAGTCAGTTTGAAAGTTGCAGTAGTTTTGAAAAAAGGAAAACGATATATTGACTATAACTGTTAGCGACTGTTGCAGAATAAAAATGAATTGAGGAGACTTTAGGAACCATACCGATAACGGGATAAAATTAACAAGACAGAATAAGTAACACAGGCGAAGACAGTTGGTGATGATCACAGAAGAAACAGAAACTCCTCAGCAATTCCAAACCAGCAACGTTTAGTTTGGTGAAACCAATGTTATTTCAACTTCAAATTACTGTTTGTGGGCTTTGTGTCCACTGTTTCTGAAGATCTAACGTAAATCTCGATGAGTCGGGTATAATATAGCTTTAAGTTTAATTCACTCTGCAAATACTGTTTTAACGCCAACGACTTTGACCTCTGCTTGTGCAGTTGAAGTTCATAGACTGGAACGTTGAAACCATGATCATAAACAAAGCTGGAAGTTGGATAAGCATCAACCAATTTGCGATTCTCAAGATAGATATGCAGTTATAATCTAGTCATTTGCGGTGATCTTATACAACAGACTAAACAAACCCATCCCGTTTATGAAAAGCATTCTAATGTTTAAAACTTTCAACGGATGGTTTCATGAACTTATTTGACCACAAAGACAGACAAAATCGACGTAAAACATAGTAAGGAAGTGCATCGGCTTAAGTTGTCACACCTCACAATAGCATGCAATGAAAAAGTAGATAGAGGAGTGATAATAAAAAGCAGACAAAGTGTACAGCAGAATCAAGGTTTTGAAAAATGGAAGTCAGTGAAAATATTCCACTTCGGAAGATATCAAAGAGCGAATAACTCTGCACCATTATCAGCCGTCACCAAGGTTTTCCAACTATTGATTCCTATTACCTCGAGGACTCCAGCCAGACAGTCTAGATAGGAAGTGATGAAAGAATGATATCCTTTGATATGACTTCCCTCTTCACTGCACTCGACGAAAAAAACTAATCTGGAAGATGATGGATATGTTTTTGAAGAAAGACCGAACCTCTTCTCACTATACAAAACTCACGGTTTAAAACCTAGTAGAGTTGATCGATTTATCTCTCACGACCTATTTACAATTTAATAGGAAGATTTACAAGCAGACACAAGTTACACCTATGGGATCGCCAATATCACGATTGATTGCTGAAGCGATCGGAATCAATGGTCATTCCTCTCATCAAGCCAAAAATTTGGATCCGGTATGTTGGAGACGCATTCATAATTCTCAAGGAAGATGAAATGGAAAATAAGTTAGAACTAACCAAGGAAACATTTCAAGGAATGCTCTCCTTCACAAAGGAGAAGGAAGCCAACAAAAAAATTCATCCTGAGATATCCTCATTAGAAGAACATACGATGGGACTTTACAAACTCAAATATACGGGAAAGCCATATATATACTGATCTAATTTTGAACGACGACACTAATCATCATAAAGTCCATAAGAAATGTTGCATAACGACGTTCTCAAGACCCAAACACATTGCAGTATTGAAGCACCACAGAAAGCCAACGAAAAGTACCTGTACCAGGTGCTCGAAGCCAATGAATATCTACTCAATGTTATCAGAAAGTGCTTATCAAAAAGGAAGAAGACAGAGCAATAACTTCAAATAAAATGACGCGTTACGTTACCCTACATCAAAGATATCTCAAAAACACTCAACTGGTTGCTCCGTCCGTTCGGAATCGGAGTAGCCCACAAACTAAAGAAATCACTGCATAGAATGTTGTGTAAGCCAAAAGACCCGTTACCAAAAGAAAACAGAACAAATATAATCTATAAAATCATCTACATAGACTATTCACAACACTTTGTTGGCCAGTCTAGCCATCGGATTGCTTAAAGAATTCATGAACCGCAACTAGCAGTAAAGCAGCATGAAGTGGCCTCCTTGGTTTCGATGCATGCAGACAATCACGACCACAAATTCGACCGGAAGAATATGAAAATCCTCGAAAGAGTAGGTTCAAAAGTTACAAGGGAATTTCTGGAAGCTTGGCACTCACACGAAAAGTCAATCAACAGACATGTGGATACAGACCTAATCTATAATCTATTTAGGAAAAAATAGAAAAACAGTCATCCACTAACCAAGGGAAAATTGACCGAACAAGTTAATAATGGTGTGTGACAGAAACAAACAGCACAATTTCACTCCAACAAACATTATCTACCAATGTGACTGAAAGAAATTTAAAGTTACAGAGGTCAAGGTGTGGTAAAAAAACTCTTCTCCAACCTATTTGAACGGCACCCAAGGTCAATGAAAACACCATCTAAACGTTTGTGTAAGAATGGAATATGCGTCACTTCGTTATGAAGTTGGTGCTGAAGACGTTACCAAGCCTGGCGACGAAAAAAATATCAAAGCTCAGAGAAGAACAAAACACCACCAGTGTACATCTCTCTACACAGCTCAGATCAACGGTCAGAGACTTAATGGACTGGATGAAATAGATAAACTGTTGCACTGCATAGTCAACCTTCTTTCTGACCAAAAAGTTATAACAGTGTAATTAGATGCGTATCGCTGATGAAACTAGTCATATGTAGGAAATATAAACCACTCACACACTACTGAAAGCATAGCAAAGGATGCAGATTTCTAATACCAACAGTTCTTAGTTTATAAAGCAAAAGACTGATGCTTATCAATATCTTTCAAACAATATAACCGACTGAAATATGATACGTCTCACAATACCAATTGGTAGATAGAGATATAAAGATTCAGGAAGGAACTTATGCAAATCATAATCTAGTCACACGATCCAACGATTCTACAAACATCATAACTGTCATACAACGCGTCTCTCCCACCAGTTGAATTAAAATATACGACATAAAAAACTGGCTTACGAGAATATAGTGAGTGGACCGTGAATGGCAGCAGCGATTGGCTCATCCAAGTTATATTTCAGTTTGTGTAGATCGTCCAATATTTCCTTTTGTTTACCTCAAAGTAACAAAAAACAAGAGTATCTTGAATTTTAGGAAAATACAACACTTACTTAGGGTGTAGGATCAGCCATGGCGGGCCAGTGACCGACAAAATCTTAGCACAAACTAAAAAGGCTCGCTTAGCTTTCCCCAGCTCAAGCCACTTATGACACCGCCATGATATCCGACTGCTGAGTGAGCTGTGCTAAAATTCACTCTCTCCTGCTATTTCAGTGAAAAGTGGCATGGACAAAAGAAGACTTGACATGTTTGACCAGCATTGCCTTCCTAGCATGAACCGCGGGTCGTGGAGTCACCATTTCAGAAACGTAGACATCTTGTGCAAATTTGAGCTGAAGAGAAAAGTCAGTCGCAAACCTTTATCAACTCAGAAGGATTAAAAATGTGCTATGCATGTGTAGTATAAGTCGCACAATGTTAGTTGAAGTAAGTTCAGGATGGAAAAAGATAAAAGACAGCCAGGTTAAACATGGCATCAGTCCCTTAAGTCTTTTAATATTGGTGTGAGCCGAGTAGGGAAAGACAGACTTCCAGCTTGAGGCACGCAAAGACAGATAAAGTAAACGTACAACCCAAGGGAAAAGCGCATCGGTTCAAGTTGCCACATTTCACAATGGTATGCAAAGGACAAGTGCTTAGAAAAAGATTGTTATTAAAGTAAACAAAGGTCTGTAGGAGACGAAGTTAAAAATGAAGTGAAAACCTGCAAGCTTCAGAACTTGTAAAAGGGTGAAGGCTTCTGCATCACTGTGACAGATTCTCGGTAACGTCACCAAGAGCCATCAAACACAGATTTCTTTCGTCTCGCAGACCCCAGTCAGGTAGTCTACATCTCCCCATACGACTTAAACCAACAGTCAAGGACTTCATCAACTGATGCTACACCTTGGTTTGGTCACCTTCAACCCTCTCCCAACTCCCCCTAGTACGGTAATGTCAACGTAGGCGCTGGCTTGCCATGCGCGACACATGTCCAAGCTACCTCAGTCTCTCAACGTTCACAACCTCATAGACCCACTTGCATGTCTCGCCTAGTACTCTTCGCCTGACCTTAACATTACTCATACAGTGGTTCCACCATAAATTAGCAATTTTACAAAGACACCTGTGGTCAATAACCTATAATCTCTTCAAATCCTCTACTTTAAATAGCCGTGTCTCATAGTCGTATGACAGGATAGAAGGAACTGCAAGGAAGAATATTCGTCCCTTAGTAGGTAACTGGATATCGCCTCAGTGTCAGAGATGGTTAAAGTTCGCAAATGCCAAACAGGCCATTTATATCAGATAAAATTTGTCAACAACCAACCTTTTAGGGCTAATGAAACTCCCCAAGTAAGTGAAGCTATCAGTGCATTCAACCACTTCACTCAATATCATTAAACTAAGGGTTAGTCTAGATTAGTCCTGATGCATCATATCACATTTGATAAGTGATAAACGCATGCGAAAAATGCATAGATTTCTGATCAATGCGTTCATTTTATGAGTATCTTCGCCTAACAGTACTGCACCTTTCAAATTAACCACGTATCCTCCACGGAGTAGAGTGATCTCTGTGAACCAAGGTGTACCTAAGCTTATGTCCAATAGCATGTCTGTAACGAAGTTAGGCAAGAAGAGTAACAGCAAACTGACTAGGTGAACACCTCTAGTTGTTGGGACTTCAAACGAAAATTCCCAGCAAGCCTTTAGACAGCTGTATGAGTTCGAGCAGGCGGCTTTGATTGGTGTTAGACAGCTTCTCAGTATTCCGCTTACAGTCAGACACTGCCACAACACCTCACGATTGACCGAATCAAATGCTACCTTCAAGCCAGGAAATATAGCAGGCACCAGCCACCAGTTAGTAAACCAGTGTTTCATAACCTGAAGAAGGGTGAAGATTTGACAGGCCTGAAACCTATCTGTTTGGTCTTCTCGAGTTTATTATTCTTGGACACCGGTAAGCATTAGACAACTACCAACCCTAGGATCTTGGACACGAACCCAGTAAAACTGATCCTAATATGGCTATCACAAGAAGACTTCTCTCCTTTCTTATAGAATGGAATTATCAGTAAAGTAGATCAGTTTGGTGGGACTATATTTTATTCCGACACACTGTCTGGGGAATTATCACGTCCCATTGCTTCAAATAGTTCCAGGTTCGAAACAACCTTCTCACCTCCGATGAGAGTCATAGGACCGACATTTATATTGCATTCAGGTTCAGGCTGGATGCTAAGCAACTGAAGCGCTGCTTTGGGTCAGTTAAAAGTGTTCTGCTTAATGTCCCAGACATCTGTCCTAAGAAGGTTATCAGGGTTCAACCCTTTTCGTGAAGGTTTCATGAACCATCATCTCGCTAGTATCCTTCAAAAGAGTAAGTAATTCTGGTTGTTACCCAAAGCTGATGCCTTCTCCATCTCTCTCGCTTTTACTACCCACCACTGTTCATGATCAATGCGAAGACTCCTATTCAATTTACATTTATTTTCGGCCTTCATTGTAATCAGACCCAGCTGGAATCAGTTTTCTCGTATCAATCGATTTGGATGACGTCGCGGAAATCCAATGACATTTGCTAACGTTCAGGGTGTAGGTTACCAACTGTCTTTACCCTTGTTTTTACTACAGATTTATTATTACGCCAGGTTTTCCCAAGATGAATATTTCTGTCAAGTTCAGATAACTGCCTAGCTAACTCCTGCTTAATTTCGTACTCGATGTCCGCATCTTCCAAACGAGCATAGACAGACCTTAGTACCAGCAGTTTTCTGCGGCCAGTAAGGTGCAGACATAAACAGGCTCGTATAGGCATGTGATCGCAGTCTAAACAGGTTCTCTAGAAAGAGCGCCAGTCCTCAACCGATACTCTCCAACAATACCTTTTCGTAACATGATCTATGTCTGCCCACTGTTAGTTTGATGTTGGCAGACGCTCAGTGAGACAGTGTCTTTCCTCATCCTTGAAGTTTTTGCTGACCAGAAACAAGTGGTTGTCAGGACTAAATCGAAACAGACGATCACCACGGTCAGTTCGTTGGCATGAGGTTTCGTAGATACCTCCAAGAAGCATTTCTGATTGGCTCAGCATTCCTACTTGAGGACTGACTAAACTCGCCCGCTAGAATGGTTATTTCTCAACGGTTTACGTTCTGTAGCAGAATTCACAGCTTTCGATAGAATTCATGCTTTGTATCATCAAAACTGAAGTCGGCAGGCGCGTAGATCGAGATTATGAATACTCATCGATGAGTGTCAAGACTCTTCTTGGTTATTACAGATCCACTCAGTCGGATAGCAAACAGATGGCTACTGATTGGTATCCAATCGAAGAGTGCATCCTCTGCTCCAGAAATTAGTGCTAAGCCTACACCAGGGATGCCACGAGAGCTAGCCATAGAATCTGCAGAAACCTTCATCACATTGGCCAGGTGAGGTTAAATAAATAACCACACTTAAGTTGTGTAAGCGTATCTCGGAAAAACAGCATAAATTCAAGGCTCTAGACTAGAGAGTTTTGGATATAAAAGTCTGTTATCCTGCTAGGCAAAGGGTTCAGGCGTTGAATGCTTCAATTTTAAGGAGTTAAGGCAAAGGAGTAGGAGGTAAGAAAGGTAATTCGAATCTTTTGAGGTTCCGAATACCACTGGGAGCGTGTGAGCAGTAGTAGATATCGTGAAAATTGTATCTGCAAGCCACCCAAAAGAGGAAAAGATTTGTATAACCGCAGAAGGCATCGCACACCGATTTTCTTAAGCCCTCTTCCCGTGAGAAAAGTAGAATCAGCACGTTACCGCTGGTCCCCTACGGGGAACACTTTGCCGCCGTCACACTCCGTCCAGTTAGCAATAAGACTTCTTCCTTGGACTACCATCATTGCATAGGAATTCACATTACGGTAACTGATTTTCGCCATCTCACTATCCAACAGACCTTTCTGGTATGGTAGGATCTAGAGGAAACAAGCGTTCCACAAGTTATTGTAATATACAAGCCCTATCACCATGTCATCAAGGTGGCAGCTATCGTCCGGGCCGCGTCACAACAGAAACCAATGGTTGAAGACTACGTGACATGGCTCAGAATGGATTCCAGTGGCGCATATGTATCTACACATTATCTTCAACCTAATCGTTATAATAAGAAATTTCATTATTATCTCATTCCTCGATGTTCGCTTATCACGACTTTCTATCAGTTTTGACTAATTTATTCCCTATTTCTTGGCACATTCTCGTCTAATATGTTGTGGTATTTCGGGTCGTTAAGCAGTGATACCAGGTCCCATGTTGATATTCACTAACTGGTGAAGATACAAAACCCACCTAACAAATACCAGGAATAATACCTAACGTGAATATCATCATTCAACAACTTAGTGGGTAATGTCCTGATATTTCAAGTGATGCGCGTTGCTCGTATTTCCTACTGAGAAAACCATAGCTCACTGGGGTGCACGTATAACCAACTGATTGATTAGAAATAAGATGATACGAGTATTCTAGATTTCACAGCCAGTCACCGCCAAAGAAATGATGTATGGGTTTAATTTAACTAACAAGACTTACTTGTTGAATAGTCATCCAGTTTAAAACTGTTCATTGGTTTGGATTTGGTTAACAAATCGACTAAAAATGGAGGATATGATATATTCTGAGTTGGTCTCGGCTTTACATTTTCTTCTGTTTTGATAGAGTCACTATTCTGATTTGGAAGACTATGATTTTGAGAAAATACGGCAGAGCGCGCTTCTGGGCATTCGACGGCAGAAACTTCTCCTTGAGTTGAACACTAAGAGGATTTCATTGGGAAGGAAGATTATTTATCGTAAATGAATATGAAAAAAACTAGTGAAAACAAGCCTCTACGACCTTTGACAAAAGACACTAATAGGTTCAAAAATTATTCGCTATAGAAGTTGAGGTTGGAGACTACAGTTTGTTATCGGTTGTCCTTACATCCTATGTCTCATATCAAGATATTGAAAGTTTACACTGAATCATATATGCATGATAATTTAAAAGTGATTGTAGCTGAGTAACCACACGCAGGTTCACGAACTCGAACGTGAACAGCATCTCAAGTCAGCCAGTAAATATCAATGTAGGACTACGTACTACTGAGTAACAATTCAAGTTCTCATACCTCACATAAGCATATCAAGACGAAGAATAATCAAACCAAAGACAGTAGAGTGTAAATAACATGACTGAAAGTCGTAGAATCGACAAATCAAATTGTACTTGGCAACCTGCGCATTCGTGCGGTAGGCAATGAGCCATACCTAGTGTACAGGAGCTAGTGATACTATTACCTGGTTGTCTAAACCTCGGTAAGTGAGGCGGGTTTGGATCCCCGTAACCCATTGGTTGGAAGCCATCTCCCTAAACTAATGAGCCACAGCTCCAGAAAGTCGTAGAAATCCGTCAGACAAGGCGAAGATGAGGCATGGATGAATCTGAGTCACTGAGGTTGGTTTTGAGTCACCTTACCTGAGATCTCTAACCACTGGCTTCGATCTCCTTACGGATTTCAAGCCGAAAGTATAAATCCCGCTGTGTGGCTTCAACAAAGAGAGATTTAATGAATTCATATTCTGAACAGCGAAGACTAGGGATAATCTACGACGGTGCAAACCACGGTTGATCAAGTAAGGTTAAACCTATTACACGGTAATTGAAACTTGAGTTTCTTAGTACTCACTTCCTTACTGGTAACTGGTTAGGAGGAAAGCGATTAGAATAAGCAAAGTGAAGAGCAGTTGGCTACTACTTATCAACGCTGTTATATGATACAAATATTTATGAAGTTGGATGATGATGAAAGTATGTGTTTGAGAGAAATCAATATCAGCAGTTTTACATGTAAACGATGTAATGAAAAATAATTATTCAATCACGAATATCGCCCTCTAAGTAAAATTGTCTCGGTATTCAAACTAACGGATCTATCATTACAGTAAAGCGATAACACCATTGCATTACTGATTCAGTAGTACATCATCAAATTGTTTGCAAAAGAGAGAGAGAGAGGAAGAGAGAAAGGCTACTCAATAATTAAATAGTCAATGAAAATAATGAGAAAAGGAAAGGATTCATAAATTATAAAAGTTCAGAAAGGATATAATAGTACTTTTCCCTTCTTATTCGTGATTAGAAACGAAACAGCTATAAAGTACTTTTTCCTTGACAGGTTTTTGGGAATTATCCTATCTAGCTTTCGACAAAAAGCTGCTTGGTAAATCAGCATCTCCGTTTTTAAGCACGGAATTAGCTTTAAGCATACTAATGGACAAAAAGCTTGAAAACAAATTCACACAATCAAAGAAAACAGCCAAGTAACTTAAGCGTAGAAAAAGTATCAACATTTTCAATAGGGCCTAATGTGTTGAAACTCTTACATTCAATCTCTTACTTTACCACCACTTTAGTTCCTTCTTAAATTTCTTTTACAACTGTATTAGCTAGAATTACTTTTTGCTTCACTTGTATTACATTCTATTTTTTCTTGGATCATTTATCGTTTGATCTGAGGCATCAATACCATACTTCTCCACATTGTGAGGTTCCGAGGCTTTTTTCCCTGCAGCACATATTAGTCTCCAAATCACAACGTGTCCTTCATTTCCTTCAAAAAGCACTTGTGTTGCATTGCATGACAACACACTATTGACCTATCAGTCACAACTAAACTTCTGCTTGCTCTCAAAGTAGTTCTCACTACAGGCTGACATTAGTTAGAGAACCACTAAAAACATGGGAGTCCCAGGACAGCTGTTTTATTCTCGTTTAGGACCCGCCAGTAGTGCACACACTGTTTGTTACAACTATGCAAGAAAAGATAAAGCTTTGTGAAAATTTCAATCACCATACAGACTTTGAGACTGAAATGTATAAATATATATCTTACATCTAAACAAACAATTTTCGGTCCAATGTATTCAATATCACCTTCGCTACTTGAAATATTTGCATACTTTCTCTTTAGTTTTGCAGCAGAATCTGCAGCAGCTTGTTTAGCCTGAAAAAGGATCTCATTCGACATGTTATCCATTGTTTGATGTGATTTTTCTGAGTTTTCATCAGAACTATCATCATTGTAAACACTATCCTCATCATTTCCACTGTTTACTTTGTCAGAATCCCTGCTTCTCTCATGACCATCAATTTTAATTTGAGATAATTTACTATCCGAAAGGTTATTTTTCTGTCTTCTGGAAATGGATGATGTCTTGCCATTAAAAGCTTTACACGAAGATCCAGACAGTGGAGATGAAGATGGAGTTGATGGAGCTTTATTTAATAAAACAAAAGGTTCATTGTTTTGAAATTCCTTAACATCACAGCATGATTCAGTTTTTATCATCGAATCACCGAAAGGATGCTCATATTCTCTTTCCATCGGTAGGTCTGATTTTATAGCTACAGAATTCTCAGGATAGGATTGGTCATGTGACATAGTAGATCGGCTGTCAGAATGTATCTTTACATCTGTTGTAGAACTTGTCGACAAAATTGAAGTATCTTTAAGGTCTGTTCGCACATCATCAACTCTTATTTTTCTCGGTCTGCCACGGCCTCGTTTCTGTGGAACAGTTACGCAAGATGCATTAACAGGGACTGGAGTACTATTCATGCCTTCAGGAGCTACTGATTGGATTTCCTTCGAAGGAATAGTATAAGCTGATAAATAGAGGGATGAAATAAGAATATGATACTTATCTCAACACACAATAATATATGAAACACTTGACAACTCAAACAATGCTTTAAAATATAATGCAAAAGGAGTAGGTATATAAACGAAATCCTCTAAAATGTTTCTGTGGTTACACTTTTTCAATGATGCTATAAAGACCATCATGAATTTAATTACCTCCAGCAACCTCTAAAACTATAAATTCACTATCTACCTGTTAGCAACTAGTTACATAAATATAAATATAAGTTGAAAATTACTTGGAAATAAATAATCAGATGGAGATGAGTGACAGTAGATCAGGAAAAATCAGTAAGTCGCATGTAAGGCCTTCTCCCGTTTTATATGTTAAGTTGAAGAAGGAATCAACTGTTGACAAAACAACTTGCAGTATATTTATCGAGGAATTAACTATAAGAAACCGACTTACTCCATGTTGTGATATAATAGATGCTTAACTTTAAACTAAAGGGTCATGAGTGCGAATTCAAAAACATCAAAAGAGGAATAAGCAGCTAGACATTTAGATTATCCTTATACGGTAAGCGTAGCACATAACCTAGTACATGAATCGACACTATGCAAATTTGGAAGATTCTGAAGCAAATTGTCTTTAATAACCGATAATTAAAAAAGCTACAGGCTCGGCAAAGATGCAGTGTAATAGCATGGCAATAAAATGTAAAACCCTCTATCGTAATGGCAAGTAGAAAAGCGACTTTAATCCCAATGGTGGGAATTTATCGGTTGCTTCTTGATTTCCCTATTATCAGCGTTTGACCATTCATGGTATGATAAAGTAGCTGACCGTTATGGAATTCTAGTTATATCTTTTGTAATATGAGCGACGGCTTTATTCATAACTCTTATCAGATCACAATCAGTATATAGTGCCGAAGTCATCAGCTAGGTTTGACCAACAAATCTAGTAGGCAGTTAAGCAGACACCTCTTTCAGCGTCTTCCCCCATGCAAACTACAATTGGAACTTAAATATTTTCCCCAAGACACCATACATAAGACATTTGACAAACATGATAGTCATATATATCGAAATCTGGTAGATTAAACACGTATTTGTTTTTACAAGTATCAACTCTAAAATGACTTAGAGCTAACAAATCAATTATTGTGCTCTTACTCTTTAAATACCGACACCTTACATAAAAGGCTGTTACACCTCACGACTTCCCTCTACTGGCTTCACATTGGAAAACACTATTATGCGAAACTGGTAGAAATTAATCTTAGCGTTTCAACGAGACACCAAAACAACCTTGGAAAACAGGTGTTACGACTTAGAACGTCCCATAAAAGTGTAGCGTTTCATACCACACCTTGAAATATATTTTTTTTAAAGAAAACAGAAAAACATTACAATGAACGAGAAAATGCGACGAAGAGAACAATGAACATAGAGTAACACGATAGATAACACTTTGAGAAAGATAGGAAGTCGATACGTTTCGCAACCGTGTTCTATCTTTCTATGCCACCAACGATCTCCAATCAATTAGATCAAGAAGTCTACACTTCCCTGAATAGTTCACACGGTTTTTCGGCGAATTCGAGAATTGGCTTGAGAGCCAATTACACCGAACTAGATTCAAAACTAATATGGATAAATTGAGCACCTCTACTATCAAATGTAAGTACCAACACAAAATATCGAGCGGTCAAAACTCAGAAATAGCCTCAACGTACTGAAAACAAATAACTGAATCATAAAGATTCAGTCTTAACAAACACGAAGGAGAATATGAACATATCTGGGATGTATTTACTAATGATTATACAGAAGAAAACTTACGTGACGATTTGTCGGACTTTAAGACAGAAACAGAGATTTTCGTAGTGTTCTTATTCTGCAAAAGAAAAAACAATTAATGATGTAAAAAGTAACTACTGTACAATCAAACCTTAAACCTTATTGGTGTTAAGCTATAAATACCGAATTCACAGTAATTTACAAAACATGAGGTTATTTAGTTAGTATTTTTAGTTTATAAATGCTCTCGTTACTGGGCTGAGTTCATCCAACTTAAATGACAAACGAATTATTTGAATGAATGCCTCACTCTTATTAGAATTTTCACTAAGCTATTATTTATTTGTTCGTCGCTAGCAGTGAAATCTAGGCAACACGTTTGTTTCTACTTTAAAGGTGTCAGTCAGATGTACTTACATGCGTGAGCTGATTTCCCCACTGAAATTTGAACTAAGAACGCGACTTTTCAAATATCGTAGCATTAACCACCAGGTTTACGAGTTACTACTCTCAAACAGGAAGAGATGCATATTCTAGATTTTACTACCAACCACCTTTACACAAACAATACAAGGTTATACTGGTGGAAATAAAAATAATTACCCTAGTGGTGATAAAACATCTTTCTATTTCGGATAGAATGACTCCAGAACTCCTTAATAATGGCAGAATAACGTGAGTGAAGATTTAGATATGAAAAATTACACAAGTGATATCTATTCATCTGAAAAATGCCAACCTTCTAATTAAGTCTGCTAAGAAACGTATAATTTTTTGAAAACCGAGAGTTACAAAGTACATCATTACAACCAACACTCTTGAGTACCGCCACCCGAATTCGCCTATCATGTCATCAGATAATGCAGCTACCGACTGGAATACTTGTTACCTACAGTATTTTGAAAAGGTAGTGCACAGACAAAAGACAGTAATATCGGTAGCAACCACGGTTGTAGTACAAGAATCCACTCAAATTACAATGGAAAGTACTATGTACTTTTACTGATGGTCGTAAAAGGATATGATTAACGGCATAACATTATTCACGAACAGTTGCTAGTTTTTGTACTACTAGTTTTATTGATGCTTTCTATGTATGATCAGAATGAGCAGTGAGAAAAAACCAGATAAGAGGACTGCACAAACATTCAAGTAATGTATACCCTAGGTGGCAGTGAGATTCCAAACAATAAATATGAGGCATTTCGAAGACAAACATTTTTATCGAAAAGATTATCTAAATTATGCATAAATGATATAAACAATGAGATTCTTTTCATGCATCACCATCATGTACAATGAAAATAGACGGATAAAATTGCATCAACAGTTTGCCGACTTAGTTTCCTACTACAGCATAACCATAATAAACCAGTTTCAAAGCGGGTAAATTAAAAAAAGCATTTGAATACCACATAGATACAAACAAGCAGAGATTATTACTAACTTTTACGTCATCATGAAACGAATGTTTCTCGGATGAAACATGCAAATGAGGTTTGATCGGTTTTTTAATCGAATGACTATACAATCTTGAAGCAGTAGACAGATGGGACTTCGGACGACCTCTGCGTCTTTTAACTGAATGACTAGTAGACGGCTGGATAGTGGAGACAACGTTACGATTCAAATCGCTATGATGCTTCGGTGAAGGGAAGAATCTTGAATCAATCTCTGTTGTACTCAATTCACTTTCGCTACAAGTGTGTAATTTTGAAGATCTGTTAAAGGTTTTGACACGATTCATATGATTCATTTGAGTTTCTACACCCATCAAGTCACCAATTTCTTCTGAAGTCAAACCTCCTGGCATATCCTTGCAGGCTTTTTTCAAAGACGAGAGAGTCATTTGTTTGCGGCAAAATGCCAAGAGCTAATATAACAGATAGAAAGGATTACGAAAATAGAGTACATAGAAGTGTATACTATTTAGAATAGATATAATAAATGTAAATCTGAAATCGATACAATGTAGAATATTTTCTCGGTCCAAATAATGAGAGAGGTTTGTAATGAAATGTAGTAATTAAAAACAGGCTGTGACACCTGATTTTTTTAAAACTATTTATTTAGTTTAGACATTGGAGGAGATCGTGGATCAGTTTGCCAAAACAACTGAAGAATATACTTGTCAAACTATTCTGAGCCTCGTAATTTTTGCATAAGTGTATTTGAGCCATCTGCTAGCTAATGTTGAGGTTATTTATAGTGTTAGATGCCAAGGCGGGAGAGAGCTTACTTAGTTTTGTTACGAATCGATGCAGACAATGAAAAAGTTCCAGAGATACCGACCAATAGTTGACCTCAACCATCAATGATAAATGAAGTACGATGGTAAAAAGGGCTGTATAGTGATGACAACAGGAAATGTCACTGAACCATACAGTTAATAAATGCTGGTTTAAGCTGTGTAAATACCGTCAGTTTCTTATTACTGCGGTATGAGATGTATTAGAAACAGTGACTGAAAGTTTTTGGTAAGAGGACACAAAATCAATAGAAATTTAAACCACTGAGGTTTCATATGAACTTTCTAGTTACAGGATCCATTGTAATTTAAAACAAACACACTCTAAACTGACGATACGAAAGGAGACACCAACATTTACTCAACTGTTAGTATAACGATTTATGAATTAACTATGAAGTGATCATCAACAACTCCAACAGTAACTTACATTAATTCTAATGAATAATTGGATAGATGCCATTCACAAGATGCTTTCAATTCAATTTTCGTCCCATTTTGGTACATATCACTACAGTACATCTGAAACTCTAGGGAAATCAGTACGATCACAAACATTCTAACCCGTATCACTTAGCACTATGTAAAACAAAAGTTTTCCTAAGCGGCTTAGACTATGACTGATTTCTGGCAAAGCCGAATTGAATTCACCAACTCATCTGTAGATAGCAAGTGATATCATACAAACTAGGGGTCAGTGCCGACCTAATTCTGTCGATCACGCTTCAGATACGGTTATATTATTATATATTATTATTTTTCCTTTGGATTCCTAGTGGAACATAGGGTTTCAGTAGCACGTTGCCATTTCATTCTCTTCTCTGCAATCTTTTTAACCTGGTTACATGACTGTCTACAGGCTTTCATTTCTTCCTCATACCATGTCCTCCATGTCACCCTTGCCTCGGACGCCCAACTTGTCGTTGCCCCTTTCGGTTCCACTCGAGGACCTGGCGTGTGATGTCACCAAATTGTCTTCTTAGAGTATGTCCAATCCATTCCCACTTACTTCTTTATATCGTTTGGGCGATAGGTTCTTGGTTGGTTCGTTGCCCGACCAGGGTTCCTTGTTGCTTACTCTTTCTGACCATATGATCTTCAGTATCGAGTGCGCGTAGGCAGCAGCTGTTGATGTATATCTATAGTTTGTTGGAAATGCTTTTCGTAACGCGCCAAGTGTCTCAACCATCACATGGAAGTACTGACTTAATTAGTGTTGGAAATCCGGATCTTGTTTTTTATGCAGAGTGAAGTGCAGTAGATCTCTCTCTTGCTGTCTTTCCGATCCTGGATGCTTTGACATCCCAATCTGTGCCATCGCCGCCTGTAGTTGAAACGATGCAGCCTTGCCTAGGTAGGTGGAAGAGACCACTTCCTTTAGATTTCTCCCGTTAATGGTGCCACTTGTAGCTGTTGTTGGTTAGATATCTTCGTCACCTCTGTCTTCTCTACGTCCACCTGAAGTCCCGTCTTCTCTGCCCTATCTCTTCTACCAACCTGTTAGTTTTCGCCTGTGGATCTTCGAGCTTGTGCAACACTATATATAAATCATCGTAGAAATCCAAATGTCCTAGGGTTTTTTCATCGGTCCAGTAAGCGCATGCCCATCTTCTCGCTCCTCACAGTTTCCAGCATGATTCAGTCCAGTCGACCACAGTCAGAAAGATCACCGGTGATAGTAGGCAATCTTGTCTTACTCCTATCTTCACTTCAAAGACGTCACTGAGCTTTTCATTGTGAATCATTTGGCATGTAGCATCATATAGCACAAACCTGTTGAATGAGGTTGACAAAGGTTTGTGACACTAAAACCGAAGTGTTGAAGCAGCTGCCTGCCAAATTACTTCTCGGTCGACGCTGTCGAAGGTCTTTTCAAAATCGATAAAGTTGAGGTAAATAGTTGACCGCCATTCTACGCTCTGTTCTATGATGATGCGTAGTGTAACGTTGCAATTGATTTGTTCTTCCTGAAGCCAGACAGCCTGTTCCGGTCGTAATTTTGAATTCAGCGCATCTTTTAGTCTCGCCAGGATGATGCGGCATATTATTTTATTTGGGGGGGGGGACAGGGAAATGGTTCCGCGCCAGTTCCTACTAAGATTTAGGTCGCCGTTTTTTGGGAATTCGACAAGGTAGCTCTTCTTGCAATCGGCAGGTACCTTTCCTTCCTTCCGAACCTTCTGCGGTAGTGGTGTGAGAATATCCGCTGTTGTCTCTGCGTCTGTTTTTGGTGCTTCTTGAGGAATTCAGATACGGTTATTTAGATAAGTAACCATATTAATGTTTCCAGTCGAACACATGGAATACATTTCATTAGCCCACAAAAATGGATCAAAAGAGTGTCAAAAAGTGTAAAATTTACTTTTAAAAGTGATAAACCTTCAAATTACCTTATATATAGTGAAACACAAAGCGACAGGCTCAAGGAAATAAACTGAATTGGCGGTCTTAGTTTATAGGCTACGTGTGTACATAAATCGCGGGCAAACACAACTTTGAATTTAACTGATTCACCACTCCTAGATCTCAGCAGGGTTCGAAGTCGCGACTTAGGTTACTAGCCAATGAGCCACAACTCCACTTCTGAATACTTCCTACGGAATACCTCCTGTTTTCGTAACTGCTGGTTAATACTAGCTTTTGTGGTATTGAAGCAACAGAAGACAACTCGACGAGAGAATGTTTATTATGAACAATTAGAATGGTAGTGGTTATATGTGGTACTCCTTACACTAACGCAGCCATTTGCATATGTCTTCGTTTCCTCTCCGTTCCTGTCTTGATTTGCTCTTGACTGGCTCTTCATGCACTCCTGTCAGCAGCATCCCCTGTAATACGCCTGTATTGTCCCCTGCGTTGCTCTTGGCAGAAACCTTACCCATTACCGGTAATTCCCTATGATTCCTGCCACCCTCTCGATATATACTACTTATATCCGTTGTTATCAGCAACGTCCACTACAGTATTACTTAGTGAAAGCATAGTTAGTTTTAAACCATTGATATTACTTAGTAGTATCGTTTGCTTACAAGACCAGTAACGTTTAGATAGGATGGAAAAAGTCAACTAAAGCTTTTTCAACTGTTATGAAGATACCACATACACATTACTCGAACTAATATACTGGATTACCGGAAACCAGTCCCTTGTTTTAAGTATGGCATTCATTCAAGTCTTGACAAGCACTTAGATCAGAAAATGACATGAAAACCGATTTATATTTTCATACAATAACGATTTCCCTCAGTATTAGGCTAGTGATACTAAAACTTTCGTCCAGCTTCTTATTCAAGTGAGTAGTTTGTATTTTATTAGAAATGCTTTCTTTTCCTTTCATACAAAAGTGGAAACATTTCATAATCCACGTAACAGAAGGTGTCCGAAATTTAAAAAATATTTCACATAATTGACTATAACTTACATCTTTTAGTCTTCCTAAGACTTTATATAGGAGGAAAATCTAAGTGGCTTCATCAGCCATGTAAACTTCATGAAACTCAGTTAAGGATAAGCTGTCGTACACTTCACTTTTCTGTCCTATATACCTATTCTTTCGAAAATATTTCTTGTTGCATCTGATATTTTAGGTTATGAATATCACACACAAAGAATATTTATGCTGTCCGTAGTAAGAAACTCATCATCACTACTATGTTGATTGTAATCAGAAACGACATCTGGAGGATAACTCAATATCAAAGGCAGACTTACTGATGATGACATATGAAAGAATCAACTGAAAGTGAACGGGGTGCCAAGCAAGTAAGTCGAAAACAAAACGAAATTCATTCAGCTACGTTGAAAACACTCATGCGGTAGGCAGTAAGCCACAACTAGTACGGGAAGGCTGAAGATACTAAAGGTTTGTCTATACTGCAGTATGTGGAGTGGTGTTCGAACCCGTGACCCATCGGTTGAAAGTCATCCCCCTAAATCAATGATCAAGTAACTGGCCTTGATAACATTGCACAGAAATGTTTAAATACGACTGCTGAAGTTATCAAAATTCCATTATTTCTTCGCTGATACATGCTTTGTTCTTGTTAATTCTAGTTATGTTTAAATTCAAACCAACATCGATAATAACTTCAAGTGAAATAATAACATGCATAAAACTGCCAGCGACTACGGTGCCTGTAAACTAGGAATGTCAGTAAACAAGACATACTAACAAGTTCGCTTGTCTTCACATGTTAAATGAGCCAGTATGAATATAATGCATATACATTTAACGCATAACCAATTGAAATTAACTGTTACTACACAAAATTTCATCAGTAATGAAAAACACTAAAGCTTGCAAAAGTTATACCGTTAGCAGAAGTCAAAATGAATTTGCGATAAAAACAATCAATAATGAGTGTTCAGTCAAGTACAATACATGATACGTCGAGACCTACCAAACACTTACTTTACGAGCACGTTGATAATAGACAGTATCTGGAGGATTATAGATCATTGCATTATCACACATTAATGTAATATCGGCAAGGTATTCGGCAGCTGAACGATAGTATGCCCGAGACCGAAGCCTACTGCATATTGTCCCGAGATCCATAGGTTTTGAAATCACCTAGGGTAATAAGACGCAGTGTTTGTTGAACGATAATTGTAAACAGACAAATTACAGAAATACAATACGCATCGGAAACAACCCCACCAATGACTGAGTGAAAATTTCCGAAACTTCTGCCTCAAAACACAGACCCCCTACCCATCAAAAAGTCATTAAGAAGCAAGTGTTTTGTGGAAGCCAATTTTCGAGAATCCATCAGTATAACTACAAACTTACCGAAAACCACCAACTGTAATCTTTCTGCACCAGAAAACACCATTCAGATCTGCAGCTGCAGAAGTAACTGACTGCGACGGCCTAGCTAAGCAAGTAGGCAGTACCAAATAAAACGTCAATACAATAACTTGAACGGCTGCGGAAGAGGCAATAGGGAGTTAACAACCAAAGTATAGACCACTAGTGGCGACCATTAAGTGATGCCTATTGTCGCTATTCCTGTTTAACTTTATAATAGATGAGAGATAACTCTAGGTAACTCCAACTTTAAATGCATTGACTCACTCTTGAAGGGCGACCTGTTAATATGGAGTACGCAAACCACGCAGTCCGTGTTAAGCAGGGACACTAACAAAATGCAGAGGTAATTTATATTCAACTGAAGAGTGGAGCCTGAACGCTTTCATCAGAAATCTATGTCTGTTTGGCACACGTTTCACTCCTGTCCGAAACAAGATGATGCTTCACTGCTGGTCTACACCGACTCCCAGTTTAGAGATAGGAAGTGGTAGAATACGTTGACCTCCACTTCCGCAATTGCATCAGACCTGAGGGGTTGGTTGTTGACGAAATCTCAGCCTGGATACAAAAGGTCCGTTTGACACTTAACAACTTACGTCGTCTCTGACAACGGTGAGATATCCGATCGCCTATTAAAGGACGGGTATTCTGCACTACAATCCGCTTTGTCTTAGCATGATTCTGTGAGAAGTGAATTCTGAACGTAGAAGATATGAAGAGTTTACAGGCTTTTGACCACAGGTGTCTACGTAACATGCTCATATGTGGTGTAATCACTGTGTTAACAACGGCAAGGTTAGGCGAAGATTGTGCAACATGCCAGGTAAGTGAGTCGATGAGATAGTGAACCTTCATCAACTGAGGTGACCTGAACATGTGTTACGCATGTCAAACCACTACCTACCTCGACATTCGACGTTAGCCGAAGTAGGATTTGTTTAGAAGAAGTCCGAGAGTAACCACATCGAGACATGGCCCCAGTCTGAAATCTCTGACCGCCATTCCGAGCCGTGGGGAGGTGGAGGCTTTCAGACTGAGGTCCTCGAGATAATAGGAACCAACAGTTGCAGACGTTTCGTGATATAAATGAAAATCGGTCACAATCGAGTAGATTTATTCACTTTTATGTCTTCTAAAGTCTAAATATTTTCACTGACTTTCAGCTTTCACATTCTTTCAACTACTATGCACTTTCGTGCGCTTTGATATCACTCTTTGTCTATAAACTTCTTCTTTGCATGTGGTCATGAAATGTAATTTGAGACGATGCAATTCTTTGTTAGGCTCCACCTTAATTTGGCTGCTTGACTTGTATTTATGACGCAATAATCTGTGACAGGACTAATCAATATTGGTTTTTTCAACTTTCGCTACGAGTTTTTAGGAAAAGTCAGACCCGACATAACAAGAGTTTTAGGTTGGACTGGGTCAATACAATAGGCAATTCAAACCATCATGGGAGGCTAGCAGAAATGGTTGATGAGAACAAAAAGCGTAAGAAATGTGTGGAAAGGTGTCCTCGGATTTTCAAAATACTGAGGCAGGAAATCGGACGTGATGACAGTTGGGGATAACTTTGAATAATTATTCTCATCAAAGTTCGATTGGTTGCAACTATGTGATAAATTATTTAATAAAGTGAAAAGATGATAACAGCTGTTTGAACCCTATATGTTCAGAGTGCAGTTCTTGAAAAATGGTGTTTACTTATTTGCACGATAAATGATCTCATGAACAAGACAAAATTGAAATGGTTAAAAAACTAAAGTAAATACGTACTGGAACATACTGATTCGCGTAAATAAACAGCATAAAAGCAAACAATATAATAATTAATCATTTAAGTCTGATAAATATATATTGCCTGAATTGAAGGATGAGTATTACACACACATATGAAACATTGAAAAAGAGAACTTTACTCTTACAAAACAACCGTCATCATAGAGCAATAATACAATAACAGACAAACCTTAGAGTAGCCAACGGCGATATCATCAGTTACAGGATTGGCAAAAATTCCGCGAGGATCTCTGCGGACAAGATTCTGGTGAATTTCATTTAGTACGACATAAAGGTTGCGACTTGTAACTTCAGTCAAAACATCAGGTTCTAAAATACAGAAAAAGATCAAATAAGCTAATACAATCGGCAAACTGTTCACAGTGAATCACTACAACAGAGCAGCAGAGTGGCTTTAAGATGGTTCAAAATATTTGTCTATACTTTCTAATATAGCCATTTTAGAGTAAAACACAAAATGAAATTTTAGTACATAAAACACATTAATCTAACAACATGAGGAATTTAATCATTTGCATAATATTAGGTGGAGACAAAGTAAAATATATTTCTGTATCTTACCATGATGCAAATTAGTAAATAACCCCTACCACCAAGTAGAAAAAGATGGGAGGAGAACTCTATATAGAATAAAGTGTTACCCCAAAGAAGCAAGTCTAATGGTATGTAAACGTTTCACTTCACTAGCTACCACAGAAAAGTAAACCTATGTTTATTCGCATGATTCTATCTTCATGGTGTTGTAATCACAATTTCATGTAGTGAAAAAGGCTAAACCAAGGAAACGAAAGGCTGCAAAAGAGTGAAAAAGTAAAAGCAAGAGCTAGAAATATAATAACAATCAGAAAACTGAAAGAATTAAGTCAACAAACTAGAAAGTAGTAGAGAGTCAAAAATGCCTGTAGGCTTTCTGTTTCCATTGTAAATATGTATCTTATTTCACCTGTATGGCATAGACTCCGAACTAATCCTCGAGTCGAAAACATCGAGCCGACAGAAATGTACACCTAAAAGCCTGAAGTTTCTTGCAGAATCTGCAGCGCTTTGAACCATCACATTATTGATGCTATTAAATCACCAGTAAATTCACAGAAATAACAAATGAAAAGTGACTGAATGTACATAGTTTCTCCTTTGCTTAGTACTAATTTATCAGAGAAAAGGTTTCTTATCGTTTCTTTACAGTAATTTTATAAATCGTTTTTCATCTACTTTCTCATCAATTTACTATAGCTATTGTAACGTATTTAAACGACATTAGAAGTATGTTATATATATATATATATATATATATATATATATATATATATATATATATATATATATATATATATAGTTTTGTAATTTTAAGGTGATCTTTAGCACCAAGGACATGTTATACAACTCATTATAATAAAATTAAAAAGACTGTTTACATACAGTGGCCAGATTTTTAGGTTTGGGTAACATTTCGACCAAAATTACTGTATATGATCAAACCAATATTCAAAATCCTAATCCTTTCGAAATGTAACCAAAAATTAAAAGTACGATCACTGCGTAATCACTCACTATACATTCATAAACAATTAATTGATTCATTGCATACTGCACACAATTGTCATGCATTTAATATTCTACAATATTCATAGGTTACTGCATTTCCAATGATATTATAAAACATATCCTAGGTGATTCTTTCTCATGCTTCCATTTTAAACCATATATTGGTTGCAGAAAAACGTAACGGATTTGCAACAGGGTTATAGAAAGATTTATATATGAATCATAGGAAAATACATACCTTAATGGACAGGATAACTTGGGTCAGGTTGGTAGGGGATGGCGGTTTTAGAAAATATCACTTGACAACTGACTGCCTGACAAAATCAACTTAGAACCTCGCACACAGATGTATCGGATCAAGTTGCCACACTTCATAGTACTACACAAAGAACAGGTGGATAGGAAAAGTAATATCAAAGTGGACAAAGTTGTGTGAGAGAATAAACAATCTGAAGATAACGCTTAGTTTGAATGTTCAAGCTTAAGATGTCAGGGAAAGAATACATGTGTACCACTGTGACCGATTTTCAGTCATGTCTCCAAGAGTCCTCAACGACTAGTTCCTATAGCCTTGAGCAACCCAACTAGGCAGTTTACATCGCCCCACACGACTCAAACCAGCAGTAAGAGACTTCATCTGCTACTGACACGTCTGTCTATCTGGTCATCCTGAACCCTCTTCCAATCTAGTCCAACTTCGCCTAGCACCACGCGAAGAGGTAGGCGGTGGCTTGGCATGCGCAGCATATGTTCAAGCCATCTATTCGACTAAGGTTTACAACCTGCTTAATCGACTTGCCTATCTTGTATAGTACCTTTCGCCTCACCTCAACATTCCTTACACGGTAATTTCATCAAACGCGAGCAATGTTACGAAGACATCAGTGATCAAAACCCAGTAATCGCTTCGTGTCTTCTACTTTTAAATGCCACGTCTCACGACCGTACAACAGGACAGAATGAAATGAAGCGCAGTATACTCGTCCTTTAATGGATAGTCGGATATCTCGCCAGTCGGTACCACAGATGACGCAAGTTGGTAATCCAAGTTGAGATTTCATCCGCAACCAGCAACCCTAACTATGGACTCTAAGATCTTGGACACAATAGTCAAACTAATTCCTCTTTGATTGTCACGAGAAGACTTTTCCCGCTTCTAATAGACTGGAACGATTAGTGAAGTACACCAACCTAACGGCACTACCTCACATACTACCTAGTACATCCGTCAATCTAGTCAGAAATTTCCTATCTCATTCCTTGAAAACTTCAGGTGCCAAACTGTCACGTACTGCCGCTTTGCATCATTTCAGGTTCCATACACATTTCTCAACTTCAAGGAGAGTTCGAAAACCGACACTTACGTCCCACTCACGTTCAGGCTGGATGTTGGGCTACTGAAGTGTTGCTGTGGGCTAGTTGAACTGTTTTAAAGTGTTCTACCCAACGTTCTAGCCGTCTGTCCTGGAATGCTATCACCGACCCATTCTTTTCGGTGATGGTTTCACTCACTATCGTCCTCATCCTGTCGACATCTTTAATAAGCCTAAATAGTTGCTGAGTGTTACCCACCACTTATGCCTTTTCCATCTCTCTTGCTTTCGCCACCCACCACTGTTCGCGATCGACGCGAACTCTTGGTCAACTTACGTTTACATTGCTTTCGGTCTTCAGAGTAGTCAAGGGCAGTCGGAACCAGTTTTTTCGCACCAATAAATTCGGATGATGTCGCAGAAATCCAATGACGTTTTCTGACCTTCAGGTGTAGGTTGCCAGTTGTCTTTACAGCTGTTTCCAGAGTAGACTTAATATCATGCCAGCATTCCTCAGAATGAGCATTGCTGTCACGTTCATATAAATGCTTAGCTGACTCCTCTCTAAATGCGTACTCGGCGTCTAGGTCTATCAGTCGAGCACATGGACCTCACTGCCTCCTGTTTCCAGCAGCCAGTTAGGTGAAAACATAAACGAGCACTTACTAACCCGAGACTGGAGTTCAAACTGGTAGTCCAGAAAGGGTGACTATCCTGCATCGACCCTCTCCAGCAATGGTTCATAGTCATGTGATCTATTTATGTCCATCGTTGGTTTCATATCGGCGGACGTCGTGTGAGACAGTATCTCTCCTAATGCCTAAAGTTAGTGCTGGTAAAAAACAAGTGATTATCGGGGCTAAGTTGCAACAGACGATTACCGTTGTCGGAATTCCGTAAATACCCCCAAGATACCTCTCCGACTGGCTCAGCTTCCGCATTAAAGTCCCCTGACATTATGACTACATCTGAACGTTTCGTTCTTCGTGGCAACATTGATAGCTTCTCATACAATTTATCCTTTGCACCATCCAAACTAAAGTCGTTGGGTGCGAAGGCAGAGACTAAGAGTAGGCATCATCTAGTCTAACAATCCTTACTAGTTCTTACAGACCAACTTAATCAAACAACACACACGACTGTTGACTGGCATCCATTCGACAAGCGCACTTTCTGCTCTACAACTCAATGATATACCTACACCAACGAGTTCATGAGAACTAGCCATCAGATCTCCAGATACGCAAGATCAATTTCGAAGATTCACTACTAGGACCAGGTGAGGTCAGTGTAATAACCACACTCGGGTCCTGTATACGTGTCTCAGAGACACAGAATACATTCATCGCAAGAAATTCTAGAGTTCTGGGGAGTGATGTTTGCTGTCCGATTTTGCATAGAGTTTGGATATTGAAAGCTCCCACATGAAATCAATGGTGGGGTTTTAGGAGACTACGAGTGAGGTTCCGATGGCCTCAATGGTTGACAATTGTTACAGAGCTAAAGGTTGGGTTAGGCGTAAGAGACCTAACATCAGTACCAGGAGATGAAGGAAAAGGAAGAGATAGAGTTAAGGAGGATAGGTTATGTTCAATTGGGTGTTGTGTACTATTAGAAGCGTGCAAGCGGTTGACACTTTCCGGCCTCCCACACCATGGAAGGCTATTTTTCCCAAGATACCTAAAAGAGAAAAATAACTGTAACCGAAGGGCTCATAGGACATCTATCTGGGGCCTTTCACACAGAGCCTTTTGTGGACTGTTGTTTTGAGTTTTGGTTGTTCTAACATCGTATAGAGAAACTATACCAGCAATACCGGAAGACTGTGGGGCAGACAGAGTATGTTATTTTTGTGGCCGACCTCTTCTAAAACCCCTTCCCGTTGGGAAGACAGCATCAGCGTAGTACTGATGATCATCTAAGGGAAATACCTTACTGCTGTTACACCCCATCTAACTAGCAGCAGTACGACTTCACCCTCAGACCCCCAATCATAGTGTAGTAATTTAGACTAGAAAGGTAACTACTTTTCGTCTTACCACTAACCAACAGATCTTTCTGGCATGGTAGCAGCTAGAGGTAACAAGCGTTTCACTAACATACTTCGTTAGGTCACTGTGATATGCAAGCCGGACCACCACGTCAAGGTAGAAGATATCGGTTGGCAACAGGGAACTAAGTAGATAATGTTTCCGACTTTACTAGCGATATATTGAACATTTAGAATCTTTCACATACAACGAAAACCCAGAATAGTTTGGTTATCTAAAAAAATGAATCCACTGACATAAAAATGCATGGAAGATAGACAGAGAAAATCAATGTAAAACCTAGCACAAAAGTGCATCGTCTCAAATTACATTTCATGACCACATGCAAAGAAGAAGTTTATAGACAAAGAGTGATATCAAAGCGCACGAAAGTGCATAGTAGTTGAAAGAATGTGAAAGCTGAAAGTCAGTGAAAATATTTAGACTTTAGAAGACATAAAAGTGAATAAATCTACTCGATTGTGACCGATTTTCATTTATATCACGAAACGTCTGCAACTGTTGGTTCCTATTATCTCGAGGACCTCAGTCTGAAAGCCTCCACCTCCCCACGGCTCGGAATGGCGGTCAGAGATTTCAGACTGGGGCCATGTCTCGATGTGGTTACTCTCGGACTTCTTCTAAACAAATCCTACTTCGGCTAACGTCGAATGTCGAGGTAGGTAGTGGTTTGACATGCGTAACACATGTTCAGGTCACCTCAGTTGATGAAGGTTCACTATCTCATCGACTCACTTACCTGGCATGTTGCACAATCTTCGCCTAACCTTGCCGTTGTTAACACAGTGATTACACCACATATGAGCATGTTACGTAGACACCTGTGGTCAAAAGCCTGTAAACTCTTCATATCTTCTACGTTCAGAATTCACTTCTCACAGAATCATGCTAAGACAAAGCGGATTGTAGTGCAGAATACCCGTCCTTTAATAGGCGATCGGATATCTCACCGTTGTCAGAGACGACGTAAGTTGTTAAGTGTCAAACGGACCTTTTGTATCCAGGCTGAGATTTCGTCAACAACCAACCCCTCAGGTCTGATGCAATTGCGGAAGTGGAGGTCAACGTATTCTACCACTTCCTATCTCTAAACTGGGAGTCGGTGTAGACCAGCAGTGAAGCATCATCTTGTTTCGGACAGGAGTGAAACGTGTGCCAAACAGACATAGATTTCTGATGAAAGCGTTCAGGCTCCACTCTTCAGTTGAATATAAATTACCTCTGCATTTTGTTAGTGTCCCTGCTTAACACGGACTGCGTGGTTTGCGTACTCCATATTAACAGGTCGCCCTTCAAGAGTGAGTCAATGCATTTAAAGTTGGAGTTACCTAGAGTTATCTCTCATCTATTATAAAGTTAAACAGGAATAGCGACAATAGGCATCACTTAATGGTCGCCACTAGTGGTCTATACTTTGGTTGTTAACTCCCTATTGCCTCTTCCGCAGCCGTTCAAGTTATTGTATTGACGTTTGATTTGGTAGGTTGACTGAGGAAGGCGACTTCAAGGGTGAAAATAAAACAATCAGGCGGAAAAGGCGTAATAAATGGAATTCGGTTGCATATCCCGACGACTGTCTCTTTGTTTCCCCCTTGTTTCCTATAAACGACACAATTCCTTCTTTTAGTCTGTTTCGATACCTGAATCCATGATTTATTCTCTATGAACACTGTGCATGCACTATTTTACCAGATTTATATTCAGCATCGGGTGAATTTGCGCTTTAATAACCAACTTTATTCAGGAAATCAATATAGCCTTCTAGACCCAGGTCTACAACACGTATGTTGGATTAGGAAACTGGAGGGCTCCGCAGGATCATTGAAGTTATGTAAATAATCCTCGATAATAAAAACTATATGATCATGAATGACAATAGTCGGATGTGATTAGTGACATGTGATTTTTAGAGTATACAAAAGCTTTCGAAAAAGTAGATTTTTAAAAAATACGAATAACACATACCTGCGTTTTCATAGCTCTCATGTAAAGGCTTTCCACCGGAAATAGATATTTTGAGTTTTAGTGCGTTATCCATATCTGCTACACAATGTAGTGAATTAGAGTTGTTTTCACTGGACATTACTGTAACGTCCACCGCGTTTAGCGCGCTAGAACACTTTTATTCAGTGTTGAGGAATGGACTATTGCAGGCCTTTCAAAATTCTTGCAACCGATATCATTGTGATAATTTATTTCCTCCTTCACTAGGTTCACCAAGGGATTGGATTTCATTCAGTCACATGGTCCAATATTCAAGATCATTATCAGTAATAAGAGCACAAACGATTGATAGTTTTTGAATTCTTGCATCTAGGTCATTGCGCCTAGTTATTTTTATTTGTTTTCACTACTCAGGTTGTGGGAGAAGACCTTGGAAGCCTCAGAAGAAATTGCTGATACTTAGACGTTTTCTTTTGCTAATTGTAGACCGACCGTTTCCGGTAGATATGGAGCTCCTGTTAATATCAATGAAGCTTTTCAGTTCCTGTCTGCAGAGGTGAGTGAAAGTGAACACTACGCTGTTAAGATAAAAATAGTTCACAAGATTGAAGATTTGGATGCCAGTAGGTGGGGGAGTATGAGGAACGAAAGCAGAATATTATTGACACTAATAATATTGTGCGAGAACCTTGGTAAATCGTGTAGACACAATGGAAAGACAGTAGAGGGAAGGGTAAGTATGCTTTCCAATTAATGCTGCTGGCGGGTGATGTATGCTCATTAGTTTCTTGAACAAACAGTTCAGTGGGTCAGCCAAAGTTGCAGCGGCTAATTCTTGTAGCATCTTTCTACGACGCCTTCGTCTGAGCCCTCTGTCTTGGCCCCTGTGTACACCTCTGGCTAATCATGCATGTGGGTTCGCCTCTCCAAATGTGGGTTGTGCCAGATACGCACCTATCCACACACGATCCCACGCAGTCACGTCTCTGTAAAAACTAGTTATCCATGCAATAGTTATGTATTGTTACCAACTCCAGTCTTTCCACCGCACTACCTCTCACGTTACTGCAGAAGCAAGCCGACACACTGCATTCTGCGCCTAGTGTCTTGCAGTAATTGACGCACCAGGAGCAGCTTTTGTCACGTACACATGCCTTGGTCCACCGGGCAACACGGCCTTGAATCATTTGAGAGATCTTTTCTACTTATCCAGCGAACCAGAAATTGCTTTCGCAGCTTCGTTTGACGGCTCTTATTCATTCCGTTGCAAGTTACCATACCGTGGACATCTGTTCAGGCAACCAGTTGTAGTCACAGTCGTTGTCTGTTCGCGTCGTTGTAGAGTTCTTCTGCAAACTACTCCACCTGAATATTTCACTCATGATGCTGGCCGTCCAAACCTCCTAGTTCCATTTTTAAGCCAGCCACCCCTAGAGGCCCAAATCGTGAAGGTACCACTTGTAGATTGAGGGTCCCACTACTGGTTCTAAGCTTCCATGCATCAGCACTTTCTCGGCTCTGTGAAGTGCAATAAGATCGAATTTTTTGGCACCTTTAGCAGCCAGTGATCTGTCTAACTTTGCTGGTATGCTTCAGTAAATTGCAAAATCTGATTAGCGTGAAAACAGAAGAATACTTCTCGCTTTTTTCATGGATGTTAGTGATACCTAGTGGCGGCGGTTTATTTTAGGGCTTCCTACGTTCTCGAGAGAGCCGGTAGTGACCTGCAGGCAACGGGCGCTATTCTCAACATCCTTCGACGTTTACTTCACTTCTCATTGTCAGACTTTTCGTTCTTTTACAGACACTGAAAGGGATGCTGTAGTCCTTTCTTTGGTCTCAAGAGTGCAAGTTGCCCGCTACTCCTTCCCCCCTCCAATGTTTACCTTAGTAGAAATATCATGAGTGCAAGCCAGGTTGTTGAGTCAATTTGCTCCAGGGGACTGCGTAATTTCTTCGGGCGAAGTGAATGTAGACATTCTAGTTGTTAAACATAAGGTGGACACCACCTGTCCACTACAATGAGCAATGTCACCTTTGTTTTTCTTCTGAGTAATTGTGTGACTTTGTCTGACTCTAGGAGTAGGTTTCGTTAGCTCATGAATCGTAATTCCTAAAATGCAAGACGTCTATTGTGCTGTCAGTGAATAAGGTGAATATCTTCCAATATTCAGGAAATTTACAAAAAATCCTCTCTCGTCAACATATTGTCGTTAATTTTTAGTGATACACCAGTACTACAGTCATAATGTACTCCCTGCAGATAAATGCTGCTGGTAAACTCTGAGTTAGCAACCGAAATTGGATTTAAGGGGTACTACATTTCGCTCATTTTTCGTGACCATTAACTATTAGCTATTCTTACATGGAAATTCATGGGCGTATTATTATTCTCTTGCGGATAAGTTCACCCAAAATAGGTGAGTAATGATAATAGTGGACGCTAATTGATCGTAAGCCGTGTAACTTTTTTTCTCTGCGAACGTAAACCACTCCGTAACAACTGTCTTAATTTTCTGGTGACGAACTGCGAAGTTGTTATTCATCGAAGACTGACATCAGTTGGAGGAACAAAGGAAACCTGGGAGCACTGGACAGCTGTTTCGTCCTAGTATGGAACTCCTCAGCAGTGCGCACCCACGACCCCACCAGCAGGGATCGAACCCGCGACCTTCAGGTTCCGCGACCAGCGCGTTACCATTGAGCCACTGGGTCAGAATCCAATGCTCCATATTTCCAACTTCTGTTAGCTCACGATATAGCGCAAACCGCCACCCAATGTCATCGTTGAGTATTTGTCCTCACGGCCATCAGGCTTTGACTTCACCGGTCACGACTTGTCATTGGAACTTCGGGAATACTTCTCGAAGCTAGTCACCAACGAGCACTAGTTCAATTAAATTTTTGAGGGGGTTGTGGAGATTTGGAAATACTAGGACGAAACAGCTGTCCAATGCTCCCAGGTTTCCTTTGTTCCTCCAACTGATGTCAGTCTTCGATGAATAACAACTTGAAATATTTCCAAATCTCCACAACCCCCTCAAAAAATTTAATTGAACTGAGAAGTGTTCATTTTTAATCCAGAATTAGTCTTCTAAGGAACTGCATGGTACGTAGTAATTCACTTCCTGAACGAATTTTATTTACCGCAAATATTCAGGATACGAGTGGGTTTCGTTTGAAACCTATGAGGAGAATATTTTATCCAATGAAAACCATGAAGATGATTATGTATTGCGCGTCAATTATCTAAATCTACTTCATGCTTTCGTCCGTAAAACTGGTTTGGCTCTGCTCCAGGAATAAACAATGTTATTACTATTGTGACGGCACAGTCCCACAAGATCAGTAGCCTAGGATTTGGCGCGATTCTACATTGTTGCTGAACTTCATAGTTTTATCAAGCTCGACAAGCTGAAGGCACCGGGTCGCGCATCCACGTTGTTGTTTTACGCGTTTAATCTACCAGCCAGCTGGTCAAAACTCGTGGGTATTTTGGCGCTACCTCCCAAACATGCTACTGTCATCTGGCTGCGCTGCTGTGTCCTTCCATGGTCATACGTCCGTGGGTATATCACAAGTGCGCATAATAAGTGATTGTGCTCGGGGCCCGTCAAGTTCGCACAGGAACAACCATTAAATAAATGAGCCCATTCCTTTTGCGCTTGATCATCTTTTCATTATTGATAACTTCCAAATATTCATATTAAGCTTCCTTCCACACGCAACTATTCTCGCAGGTTTTTGGGGTTAAGACGACAACAGACACTATCCCGCTCGTGCCATACTGGTCACACAATGCAGAAACATGGCCTCTGTATACTGAGGCAGATTTCTGAGAACGGTAAGTCACGGATCTGCATCTTGATTTCTTGCAGTCATACTATCATTACTGCGGAAATGAAAGAGGCATGCTTCAGCACATATGTTTCCCCCTGAGGTGAGTGATCCCTAAAAATTCCCCAGAGCAGCATTTCCTAAGGAGTGCGATCTTGTAGATCACCAACACTCAGATAAGTTGCTTCGTAACACCGAGCTAGGGAGCGACCCAGCTACTGATGTTCTCGCACGCTTGCAAAAGGTTATTGGCCAACGAGTGTTCAGTAGAGACCTTCGCCACGGACTGTTCCTCCCAAAACTACCACAACCGGTGTAAACTTTGTTGGTCACACTTCAGTTGGTTGCAGTCGGCGACCTGGTAGCCTCCTTAAGCAAAATGTTGGGGATCCATGGCAAACGCGTCTCCAACTTACGTTGGGTCTACGAAAAACCCTGGGGCCAGGATTTAGAAGCGGCGGAGCCATGGAACACCACTGAATGGCTTCACGAACCCGGAGCACTATGATGATTGAGCCAGAAGTAGTCGAAAACGATACACGCATTATTTCGAACCATAACACTATTAACACCGTGGGATTCTCAGAATGCGGTGTCGCATTGGTCTACCCACTGTACAAACCTTTTCAAGTATGTTTTACCAATGAAAATAGCTACCAATGTATGGTTAAGACAACGGGACTGTTGAAAGGCTCAGTGACCGGAGGGTTGTGGTAAAAGCTTGTCGCTGCAAAGATGATTGATCAAACCATTTCCAGTGCTATTTTCTTTACACACTATACAGGCTACACAAGGAATGGATTAGTTCTTGTGGGTAGTTGTGCGCCCATGACGTTTAGTGTATTTGCCTCTAGTCTTCACTGAGGACAACCACTGAGAGAGGTATGGATGTAGAGGATGCTTGTCACCGGACAAAATAATTGTGGCCACCTGCCTACAAGAGTTCAAAAGCTTGACCAAAGTCCTAGTCATCAGATCAGTCAGTGGAGTATCTTACTGACAGCCCTCAAAGTCCTACACAATGCTATCGCTTTATCATTTATTTGTCCCTTGGGTTCCTAGTGGACCATAGGGCCTCAGTAGCACGTCTCCAATGCACTCAGCTCTCTGCAGCCTTTTGAACCTGGCTCCAAGATAGCTCAGAAGCTGTCATTTCTTACTCGCACGATCTTCTCCGTGTCACTCTCCGACACCCAACTTGCCATTTCTCACCTGGGTTCCACTCGAGTGCCTGGCCTGACGCATGATGTCCCCAGTCGGCCTTCTCATTGTACGCCCAATCCATCTTCACTCCCTTCTGCATATTTATTGAGTGGTAGGTTCTTGGTTGG